ATAAGCAGTCGTTGATTTTGCTTCTTCAGGAGTATAAGTAACAGGTTGAATTTCACGATCACCCATTAAAACAGAGCAATAGGGTTTATAACCCCTTACTTCTTCTTCACCGAATAACAATACATTGGTGGGGGGAATTCCTGCACTGATTGAAGCTTCAGCTGCAGCATCAAGAAATTCAGGATGAGCGATCAGAACCGAAGCTCCTGAATCGCTTAATTGATGCAAAAATTCAACTACTTTATATTTTGGGTTAGCAGTTGTTACTTTGCCACCTGTAAAAGCGTAAATATAATTTAGAATTGAAATAATTGAAATGATTATGTAATTTAATTTATATCAAACTTTATAATACCGGCAGCGATTGTTCCCAAGAGCACAATTGGATAATCATACTTAAAAAAATATATATAAATATATGCTATTAGATGAATGAATTAATTAATGAAAGCTAATTAAGTACTCAAGTACCTGATTAGGCGAAAATATTGCTAAAACATCTCCATTTTGAAATCCCAACTTATCTTGTAATCCAGCAGCAAACCTTTTCGAGTCATATTTAAATTCGCCATAAGTGCAACTCTTCCCAGTAATTCCATCCACGAAAATGACCTTGTCATCTGGAATTTGTTGTGGATTACTAGTCATATATTGATAGATTCCAGTTTGAGGAATTTTTATCTCAGGATGCTTAGATTCAAAAATCATTTTATATTTAATGTTAATGAAATCAAGATAGGTTGTATGTTTAGCGTTAGTGAAGTAAAGTCAAATTGATGCAATATTTATACTGATCGCATGCAGCACAAAATAGTCACAGAAAAGTAGGGACGTACGTACGTACGTGCATGCACAAATAAATTCAGCCAAATATGTAAAATGAAACTCTCATTAAAACTTTCCTAAACCTTATTTTATCTAATCTATACTACGTTATACATGTACTGTACACATGCGTGCAAGGCATATTTTTGTTGAATTCAATACGCAATTATTCCATTTTCTTATTAGATTTGTTAATAATAAGAAATTTTAATTACTTATTAGATGTGTTATAATAAGATCCGCACTACGTTACATTTTAATGCATATTTAGTACTTTTTGATTGATAATCAATATTTTAGACGGATTATGTACAATGAAGTCAGATTACAATTAATTTTGCCTTACTTTTAATTATGAAATCATTAATTACGCATTCATACTTCTATTATTGTTATTTAAACTATGGATGGGCAAATTGAAGACTTTTTGAAGATACTGCGCAGCCTGCACGGACCTGCATTATGGCTAAGGCGGGCCAAAATTGTTAAATTTCGATGGTTTCAGGCATATTCCGAGCTTCCGAAATATTCCGCCTGCGCAGCGGCCCATCCCTAATTTAAACACCATAAATTATAGTTACAAAGCTTTCTAATATTGTATAACTAGCCTTTAGTGACCCGACGACCCGGATTTTAAATTTTTTTAAAAAAAATTTTTTTGATAAAAATTTTATTTAAAAATCTTATTGACACAAAACTCGAATACCCGATAAACATTTTATATAATAAAAAAATTTTTTAATAATGATATGCAAATGGATTCGGTATTTTTTTTACAAAGCATGATCGGCGGCCTGTCATTTCAAAAATTGGCAAATTTTTACATAGTCTAAATAAAATTAGGGTAGCTACGAGCGTGCTTATACTAAAAATGCAATATTATCACTAGACTCCTATTAAAGATTTGAGTGTAGTGACGAACTTTCTAATATTATTAATTCATAAAAAATATTCCCCAATTATCAATTATTTTATGCAATCTATTTCAAAGTATTGAAAATCGATTAAACTTGTAATATATATATGGGCAAAATCATATGATTAAATAAAATTTGATTCAACCATATGCAAGATTTTAATTTTATTACGTATACTATGCGAATTACCTATAAGAGATCCTTTGAGTAGTGATGGGATAACTTGAACAATCTGTGGATTCCTCACATAAGATCCAGATATAAAAATGTATAAAGATGTTATTCCTTTAAAAATATTAATTGTCACCAATGTCTAGGGATGGCATACACGTATGCTATGTGGCAAATTTCTACGCAGGTTTAAATAGAAAAGAACTTAAATCGCGAGCAAGCATATACTTTTTTTTAATTTGTTTAAAGTAGCAATAATAAATGTCTAATTCGTTTAAATGAAGGATATATAATAACTGAAATGTGAAAAGAAAGTGACTCTGAAATTAGAAAATTTTGAAGACATAATTATCAAGGATCATAAATATCGAATGCAACTAGTACGCCGAACGTTGAAATGAGATTAATTGTCGGTAAAATGAACTTGTCGGTGAATTAATTTTGGTGAACTAAGCTGTCGATGAAGTGATTATCGATGAAAAGATTGCCACAGATAAGTGCACACCATCTCTAAATGCATACTAAAATTTTGGCCCATATACAGTCAGACCTCTCTAAGTGCACGCCCTTGGGACCACATTTTAACAACATGCATTTAGAGAATACAGTAATAAGAAAAAGTGCATTTATAGAGGTCAAGTATATATTTGGGCCAGAATCTGAGCGTGCATTTAGAGAGGGTGTGCACTTATAGAGGGTGCACACCCTCTCTAAATGCACGCTCAGATTCTGGCCCAAATATATACTTGACCTCTATAAATGCACTTTTTCTTATTACTGTATTCTCTAAATGCATGTTGTTAAAATGTGGTCCCAAGGGCGTGCACTTAGAGAGGTCTGACTGTACTTGACTTCTATAAATGCACATTTTCTTATTATTCTCTAAATGCATATGTTTTTTAGTGTGATCCCAAGGGCATACACTTAGAGAGGTTTGACTGTAATTATATTTGAAACCGATGAATTAATAGGCTTTGTATAAGCACTTGATCTGGTTAAAAGCCTACAATATTTTTACAACAAAAGAAATGGCTTAAAAAATATTGAATCAAATTTTATACTAATCAGAAAATTGGATGACAATATAAAATGTGAAATATCTTCCAAGAGCATGAAATAAATACTTTCTACTAGCGATAAATTAAAAATAGCTTTGATCATTAAAAATTTATGTTGCAATTTTTGTGAAATACAAGTTTTTAAGACTACCTAAACTATAGCTGTACCTTTCGAAGACAGATCAATTTAAAATTTTATAAAAATCCAAGTCAGAAAATATTCTTTTGCAGTAGAAAAGGTCCGAATTACTTCCGGAAATCAATAAGATTTTGTAAAACTCAGGTAAATTTCGGCGCGAAAATTGATTGGCATGAAAAAAATTTTGGAGACTTATATATCACAAGATTATTAAACAATAAACCCACTAAATTTTTGGATGCGCCTGAATTAGGGATGGATTTGGTTTGCTACGGTCGGTTGGTCATTTATTTGGTTATGATTTATTTTTCGATATCCAACACTATTAAACAGTAGGTTAAAAGTCTCAGATTGTAACCGACTATAGCCGACTATAGCTGGCTATAGTCGGTGATTGACCGGCTGTAGCATAACCGAGCCCATCCCTAGTCTGTATACAATACTGTAATAAACCTGATTATCTCAAAATCTTATTTTTTGGATCTTTTTCTACAAAGGCCCATATATTTCGCTGATTAGCACTTAGGCGGTACTCATATTAAAGATATTCAATTTTGCCCGGCCCAATCTTTCCATATATGTAATAGTTATATGCATATGCGAACAAGATTGAAT